GAGTAGAGGAGGTGGCAGCAGGACTGCCTGCAAGTCGTGGCGGTGTCACCAACTCCTCTGCAGAGCCATGCATTCCATGCTTGGCAGCAGTCAGCAGGTTTACCCAATGCGCAGTGTGGGTGATATACCTGCCCTGACCATGCTTTGCAGACCAGGTATCAGTGGTCAAATGGACCCTTGCCCCAACACTGTGTGCCAGAGATGCTATTACTTCCTTTTGCACAATTGAGTACAGGTTGGGGATTGCCTTTTGCGAAAAGTAATTTCGGCCGGGTACCTTCCACTGCGGTGTCCCAATAGCTACAAATTTTTTGAACGCCTCAGACTCCACCAGCTTGTATGGTAAAAGCTGGCGGGCTAATAGTTCGGACAAGCCAGCGGTCAGACGCTGGGCAAGGGGGTGACTTTCTGACATTGTCTTCTTACGCTCAAACATGTCCTTGACAGACACATGACTGTGGGAAGATGAGCGTGAACTGCTCAAGGCGGGAGGCGGAGTGGCGGATGGTTGAGAGGGGACAAGGAGGACAGCAGTGGTTGACGTGGCTGAAGATGCTGGACCAGGAGGAGGCTGGCGGCTTAGAGTAGGCGAGCTACTTGTACTCATGTGTTGATCCCATAGGCGTCTGTGATGTGAGATCATGTGCCTACGCAAAGCAGTTGTACCTAGGTGGGTGTTGGACTTCCCACGACTCAGTTTCTTTTGGCACAGGTTGCAAATGGCATCGCTGTTGTCAGAGGCAGACACACAAAAAAAATTCCACACTGCTGAGCTCTGCAATGACGGCATTCTGGTGGTGGACACAGCATGCGTTGATTGGCGTGCTGTCGGGCTGACCCCGGGTGCCGATGCATGCTGTCTGACTGTGCCACTAGCTCCTTGCGACGACCTCCCCCTGCTTCGAACTCGTCTCCTCCTCCTCCCTGTCTCCCCATCTGAACTTTCGCCCTGTTCTTCTTCTTGCCGAGCGGGCACCCACATGACATCCATGGACGCATCGTCATCATCAACCGCTTCACTTGTATCTGACAACTCAAAGCGGGTACATCATCATCATCATCATCACACCGTACGTCCATGTGTGTAATGCTGCCTGCCTGAGACATATCCCTGTTATCTACATCCTCTGGCAATAATGGTTGCGCATCACTCATTTCTTCAAACGGATGTGTGAATAACTCCTCTGATATACCAACTGAAGCGGCTGTGGTGCTAGTTTTGGTGGTGGCGGCAGGCGGGTGAGTGGTATCTTGAGAGGTGCCTGAAGCTAAGCTGGAGGAGGATGGTTCGTCAAGGTTCTGAGCGGAGGCTGTAGAAGATTGGGTGTCCTGTGTTAGCCAGTCAACTATGTCCTCAGAACTTTTCAAGTTCAGGGTACGTGGCCTCTGAAAACTGGGCATTATTCTAGGGCCAAAGGGAATCACAGCACCACGACCACGATGGCCCCTGCGGGGTGGCCTGCCTCTGCCTGTCATTTTTGTTGGGATTAGTGGTACTATGCGTGCAAGCTACTGTGAGACCAGATATGAGTGGCAATGTGCACTGGCACAGTTGTGCAGAGCACAGGCTGTAGGCCTGACACCCGCTTGAAGATAACTAACTGCTATTCAATCTATAACAGTGAAAAAAGTTTTTTGTTTTTAAATCAAGCTATTGTGACACCAGATATAAGTGGTGGCACTGGTCACCGTATCCACTGTTAGCGTAACACACCCGCTTTAAGGACACTGACTGCTATAACAGTGAAAAAAAGTTTTTTGTTTTTAAATCCAAACTATTGTGACACCAGATCTAATTAGGCACTTGTCACCGTATCCACTGTTAGCGTAACACACCCGCTTTAAGGACACTGACTGCTATTCAATCTATAACAGTGAAAAAGTTTTTTGTTTTAAATCAAGCTATTGTGACACCAGATCTAATTAGTGGCACTGGTCAATGATCCACTGTTAGGTAACACACCGCTTTAAGGACACTGACTGCTATTCAATCTATAACAGTGAAAAAGTTTTTTTTTTTAAATCCAAACTATTGTGACACCAGATCTAATAGTGGTCGCACTGGGCACCGTATCCACTGTTAGCGTAACACACCCGCTTTAAGGACACTGACTGCTATTCAATCTATAACAGTGAAAAAAGTTTTTTGTTTTTAAATCCAAGCTATTGTCACCAGATCTAAGTGGTGGCACTGGTCACCGTATCCACTGTTAGCGTAACACACCCGCTTTAAGGACACTGACTGCTATTCAATCTATAACAGTGAAAAAAGATTTTTGTTTTTAAATCCAAGCTATTGTGACACCAGATACAAGTGGTGGCACTGGTCACCGTATCCACTGTTAGCGTAACACACCTGCTTGAAGATAACTAACTGCTATTCAATCTATAACAGTGAAAAGTTTTTTGTTTTTAAATCCAAGCTATTGTGACACCAGATCTAAGTGGTGGCACTGGTCACCGTATCCACTGTTAGCGTAACACACCTGCTTGAAGATAACTAACTGCTATTCAATCTATAACAGTGAAAAAAGTTTTTTGTTTTTAAACCCAAGCTATTGTGACACCAGATATAAGTGGTGGCACTGGTCACCGTATCCACTGTTAGGTAACACACCTGCTTGAAGATAACTAACTGCTATAACTGTGAAAAAAGTTTTTTGTTTTTAAATCCAAGCTATTGTGTCACCAGATCTAAGTGGTGGCACTGGTCACCGTATCCACTGTTACCGTAACACACCTGCTTTAAGGACACTGACTGCTATTCAATCTATAACAGTGAAAAAAGTTTTTTGTTTTTAAATCCAAGCTATTGTGACACCAGATATAAGTGGTGGCACTGGTCACCGTATCCACTGTTAGCGTAACACACCCGCTTTAAGGACACTGACTGCTATTTTATCTATAACAGTGAAAAAAGTTTTTTGTTTTTAAATCCAAGCTATTGTGACACCAGATACAAGTGGTGGCACTGGTCACCGTATCCACTGTTAGCGTAACACACCCGCTTTAAGGACACTGACTGCTATTTTATCTATAACAGTGAAAAAAGTTTTTTGTTTTTAAATCCAAGCTATTGTGACACCAGATCTAAGTGGTGGCACTGGTCACCGTATCCACTGTTAGCGTAACACACCTGCTTGAAGATAACTAACTGCTATTCAATCTATAACAGGAAAAGTTGTTTTAAACCGCTATTGTGACACCAGATATAAAGTGGTGGCACTGGTCACCGATTCACTGTTAGCGTAACACACCCGCTTTTATGACACGGACTGCTATTCAATCTATAACAGTGAAAAAGTTTTTGTTTTAAATCCAAGCTACGTGACACCAGATATAAGTGGTGGCACTGGTCAATCAGATTCACTGTTAGCGTGAATACACACCCGCTTTAAGGACACTGACTGCTATTCAATCTATAACAGTGAAAGTTTTTTTTTTTAAATCCAAGCTTTGTGTCACCAGATCTAAGTGGTGGCACTGGTCACCGTATCCACTGTTAGCGTAACACACCCGCTTTAAGGACACTGACTGCTATTCAATCTATAACAGTGAAAAGTTTTTGTTTTTTTTAAATCCAAGCTTTGTGTCACCAGATCTAAGTGGTGGCACTGGTCACCGTATCCACTGTTAGCGTAACACACCCGCTTTAAGGACACTGACTGCTATTCAATCTATAACAGTGAAAAAAGTTTTTTGTTTTTAAATCCAAGCTATTGTGATACCAGATATAAGTGGTGGCACTGATCGCCGTATCCACTGTTAACGTAACACACCCGCTTTAAGGACACTGACTGCTATTCAATATATAACAGTGAAAAAAGTGGTTGTTTTTTTAAATACAAGCTTTGTGTCACCAGATCTAAGTGGTGGCAATGGTCACCGTATCCACTGTTAGCGTAACACACCCGCTTTAAGGACACTGACTGCCATTCAATATATAACAGTGAAAAAAGTGGTTGTTTTTTTTTAAATACAAGCTTTGTGTCACCAGATCTAAGTGGTGGCAATGGTCACCGTATCCACTGTTAGCGTAACACACCCGCTTTAAGGACACTGACTGCTATTCAATACATAACAGTGAAAAAGTGGTTGTTTTTTTTTAAATACAAGCTTTGTGTCACCAGATCTAAGTGGTAAATGCCTGCACCGTATCCACTGTTAGCGCACACAATCTCGCTTAAGGACACTGACTGCTATTCAATCTATAACAGTGAAAAAGTGGTTGGTTTTTGCAGCCACAAGCTTTGTGTCACCAGATCTAAGTGATGGCAATGGTCACCGTATCCACTGTTAGCGTAACACACCCGCTTGAAGGACACTGACTGCTATTCAATATATATAACAGTGAAAAAAGTGTTTTTTGTTTTTAAATCCAAGCTTTGTGTCACCAGATCTAAGTGGTGGCAATGGTCACCGTATCCACTGTTAGCGTAACACACCAGCTTTAAGGACACTGACTGCTATTCAATCTATAACAGTGAAAAAAGTGGTTTTTGTTTTTAAATACAAGCTTTGTGTCACCAGATCTAAGTGGTGGCACTGGTCACCGTATCCACTGTTAGCGTAACACACCCGCTTTAAGGACACTGACTGCTATTCAATCTATAACAGTGAAAAAAGTGTTTGTTGGTTTTTAAATACAAGCT